TTTCATTACAAATGGCAGTTCCTAATTGGTTCTGTCATAAAAATCGCCAATAATGAAATAATGATTAAAATTTGAAAGTTTTGTTAGAGTTCTACAATTTTCACCACCAGAACTTTAGTTTTGTAAGTACTTTAGAACCATTTAGAGCCATGGATTGCACATGCCCTAATAATTATAATTATAAATATAATATAATTATATATATATAAATGCTCGGTGCATAATGAGTACCTTAAAAACAAAAGAACCAATGAACGAAATCACACCAAATTTGGCAACAAAACGTCTGATTTTGTCATTTGGGAGTTGCAGTTGCTGGGATTTATAGTTCATCTACAATCAAAGAGCAATTCTGAACTCCACCAATGATGGGAAAAAATTGGCACACAGAACTCCCATGACGAGGGGGGGGGGGGGGGGGGGGGGGGGGGGGGGGGGGGGGGGGGGGGGGGGGCTTGAGGGGCTTCAGCCCCCCCCCCCCCGAAATTCTCATGGTGGTTCGCGAAAAGGCCTTACTGGTGCATTATTAAACTGTTATGTTTATTCATATCATGATCTGATCACCATACTCCCCTCTTTCACTCAGCCCCCCCCCCCGAAACTCACCCCCTCCCGAACCCCCCCTGAAAAAATTCAGCCCCCCCCCCCCACCAAACAGGAAATGACCAAGAGAAGATACTGGAAGGGTTTGGTGGGCATTGACCTTGAGTTTGTGAGTTGTAGTTCACCTACATCCAGAGAGCACTGTGGACTCAAACAATGATGGATCTAGACCAAACTTGGCATGAATACTCAATATGCCCAAATATAAACACAGATGGAGTTTGGGGGAAATAGACCTTGACATTTGGGAGTTGTAGTTACTGGGATTTATAGTTCACCTACAATCAAATAGCATTCTGAACCCCACCAATGACAGAATTGGGGCAAACTTCCCACACAGAACCCCCATGACCAACAGAAAATACTTAAGGCCATCCAGTCCAACTCCCTTCACCAGGGCAAGAAAATGTAATCAAAGCCCTCCTGACAAAGAGCCATCCCGCCATAGATATAGATAGATATATATGATTCATACACACAGATATAGTATCCTAAATGCATAGGTAAAGTAAAGGTTGTCCCCTGACATTAAGTCCAGTCATGTCTGACTCTGGGGTGTGGTGCTCATCTCCATTTCTAAGCCAAAGAGCCGGCGTTGTCCATAGACACCTCCAAGGTCATGTGGCCAGCATGACTGCATGGAGCGCCGTTACCTTCCCGGAGCAGTACCTATTGATCTACTCACATTTGCATGTTTTCGAACTGCTAGGTTGGCAGAAGCTAGGGCTGACAGCGGAAGCTCACGCCGCTCCCTGGAATCGAACCTGCGACTTTTTGGTCAACAAGCTCGGCAGCTCAGTGCTTTAACCCACTGCGCCACCAGGGGGCCCCCATAGATTTGAAAGGGACCCCTAAAGAAGGACAATTATATGTTGCATGTTCCAGAGTAGGCGAACCAGACAATCTCCACATCAACACTGACAAAGAAACAACAAGAAATACTGTTTACTACAAGCATAAAGAAATTACGTATATTAGAAACCAACACTTTCTCATTACTTTATTTTCCAGATCACCAGACTTGGCCACAGCAACGCGTAGCAGGGGACAGCTAGTGTGTGTATATATTTTATTTATGTGTTTATATGTGTACATGTATATTGTGTATATGTGTGTGCTTGTCTATATGCATATTTGTGTGTATATATGTATGTATGTGGATATATATGTGTGTGCGCATGTGTATATGTATATATGCATGTATATGTGCATGCATGTATATGTGTGTGTGTATATGTGTGTATGTATATTTGTGTGTGTTTGTGCATATATATGTGTGTGTGTGTTTAAATGTGTGCATATGTATATGAGTGTATGTGTGTATGTATATATGGTGCATTTTGGAGGTTTTTAAGTCTATTCTGCCGGGGTTTTGTGTGTGTGTGTGTGTTTATGGGTGATGGACACTCGTTGGACTGTTAGGTGTATTATGTCCAAATTTCTTGTCAATTCGTCTAGTGGTTTTTGAGTAATGTTAATCCCACAAACGAACATTACATTTTTATTCATATAGATTACAGGCACCCCTCCTCCACAGGGCCTTCTTCCTCATACAATTTTGTAGGGAGGAGGTTGTGAGCAAGTGGAATTATTAAATTTATCTAGCATTTTTCCCCCTACAATTTAGTATCATTTGCATAGAATATGTCCCAAGTCCCTCAGTGTTGCTCACTCCAAAAAATTAGAAAATGACGCCTCGGTAATAAACCCAGAGTAAGAGTAAGGCGTACCTATGGAGTCCAGCGTTCGAATTCCTGCTTGGGCCCGGAAACCTTGGAGGTCACACTCTCTCAGCCCCAGAGGACCCTTAGGGCTGAATTGAAGGCACACAACAAATCCCGGCCATCCCCCTTCCTATCATTCATAGTCACTGTGTTTTTAAGAAGTATATCCCACCCTTCTTTGATAAATTACTTAGTCTGTTTTATCAAATTCACTTTTATTCTTCAAAGCAAACAATAATTCTGAATAAATATCTAAAACTACACAAATTGAGTATTTTTATCTTTACCTTTTTATCGACTATGAATTAATTATTGAAGATTTATTCCTCTACTAGCCATCCCCTGCCATGCATTGCTGTGGCCTAGTCTGTGTATATGTGTTTTGTGTGTATATATATTTGTGTATATGTGTATATATGTGTGTGTGTGTGTGTGTGTGTGATTGTGAGCATGCGTTGAAATGTATTTTTGTTTTTTGGCTTTTTAAGTCTCTTTTGCTGTGTTTTCAGTGTTTTTATGAGTGATGGTCACTTGTTGGCCTGACAGGTGTCTTGTGTCCAAATCTGGTGTCAATTCGTCCAGTGTTTTTGAGTTATGTTAATCCCACAAATGAACATTAAGTTTTATTTATATAGATTTGAGTTACAAAAGTGAAAATAGAATGTGACCAAGCTTTCTGACAGCAAAGCTCATAGTGCAATAACATAATAAGGAATAGTGAACAGACCAATGGAATGACAATGGATATAATTTTGGATGGTGTGATTTTAATAACTTTTAAAATTGTGTTGTTTATTGGTGGCCACCCCCCCCCCCCCCCCCCCCCCCCCCCCCCCCCCCCCCCCCCCCCCCCCCCCCCCCCCCCCCCCCCACCCCCCCCCCCCCCCCCCCCCCCCCCCCCCCCCCCCCCCCCCCCCCCCCCCCCCCCCCCCCCCCCCCCCCCCCCCCCCCCCCCCCCCCCCCCCCCCCCCCCCCCCCCCCCCCCCCCCCCCCCCCCCCCCCCCCCCCCCCCCCCCCCCCCCCCCCCCCGAAACGAAATCCTGCCTACGGGCCAGACTAGAAGGGTTTGGTGGGCAGTGACCTTGAGTTTGGGAGTTGTAGTTCACCTACATCCAGAGAGCACTGTGGATTCAAACAATGAAGGGTATGGACCAAACTTGGCAAAATATTCCATATGCCCAAATATGAACACAGATGGAGTTTGGGGAAAATAGACCTTGACATTTGGGAGTTGTCATTACTGGGATTTATAGTTCACCTACAATCAAAGAGCATTCTGAACCCCACAAATGACAGAATTGGGGCAAACTTCCTACACAGAACCCCCATGACCAACAGAAAATACTTAAGGCCATCCAGTCCAACTCTCTTCTTCACGAGGGCAAGAAAATGTAATCAAAGCCCTCCTGACAAAGAGCCATCCAGCCATAGATATAGATAGATAGATATGATTCACACACACACATAGTATCATAGATTTGAAGGTAAAGGTAAAGGTTGTCTCCTGACATTAAGTCCAGTCATGTCTGACTCTGGGGTGTGGTGCTCATCTCCATTTCTAAGCCAAAGAGCCGGCGTTGTCAATAGACACCTCCAAGGTCATGTGGCCAGCATGACTGCATGGAACGCCGTTACCTTCCCGCCGGAGCGGTACCTATTGATCTACTCACATTTGCATGTTTTCGAACTGCTAGGTTGGCAGAAGCTAGGGCTGACAGCGGAAGCTCATGCCGCTCCCTGGAATCGAACCTGCGACTTTTTGGTCAACAAGCTCGGCAGCTCAGTGCTTTAACCCACTGCGCCACCAGGGGGCCCCCATAGATTTGAAAGGGACCCCTAAAGAAGGACAATTATATGTTGCATGTTCCAGAGTAGGCGAACCAGACAATCTCCACATCAACACTGACAAAGAAACAACAAGAAATACTGTTTACTACAAGCATAAAGAAATTACGTATATTAGAAACCAACACTTTCTCATTACTTTATTTTCCAGATCACCAGACTTGGCCACAGCAACGCGTAGCAGGGGACAGCTAGTGTGTGTATATATTTTATTTATGTGTTTATATGTGTACATGTATATTGTGTATATGTGTGTGCTTGTCTATATGCATATTTGTGTGTATATATGTATGTATGTGGATATATATGTGTGTGCGCATGTGTATATGTATATATGCATGTATATGTGCATGCATGTATATGTGTGTGTGTATATGTGTGTATGTATATTTGTGTGTGTTTGTGCATATATATGTGTGTGTGTGTTTAAATGTGTGCATATGTATATGAGTGTATGTGTGTATGTATATATGGTGCATTTTGGAGGTTTTTAAGTCTATTCTGCCGGGGTTTTGTGTGTGTGTGTGTGTTTATGGGTGATGGACACTCGTTGGACTGTTAGGTGTATTATGTCCAAATTTCTTGTCAATTCGTCTAGTGGTTTTTGAGTAATGTTAATCCCACAAACGAACATTACATTTTTATTCATATAGATTACAGGCACCCCTCCTCCACAGGGCCTTCTTCCTCATACAATTTTGTAGGGAGGAGGTTGTGAGCAAGTGGAATTATTAAATTTATCTAGCATTTTTCCCCCTACAATTTAGTATCATTTGCATAGAATATGTCCCAAGTCCCTCAGTGTTGCTCACTCCAAAAAATTAGAAAATGACGCCTCGGTAATAAACCCAGAGTAAGAGTAAGGCGTACCTATGGAGTCCAGCGTTCGAATTCCTGCTTGGGCCCGGAAACCTTGGAGGTCACACTCTCTCAGCCCCAGAGGACCCTTAGGGCTGAATTGAAGGCACACAACAAATCCCGGCCATCCCCCTTCCTATCATTCATAGTCACTGTGTTTTTAAGAAGTATATCCCACCCTTCTTTGATAAATTACTTAGTCTGTTTTATCAAATTCACTTTTATTCTTCAAAGCAAACAATAATTCTGAATAAATATCTAAAACTACACAAATTGAGTATTTTTATCTTTACCTTTTTATCGACTATGAATTAATTATTGAAGATTTATTCCTCTACTAGCCATCCCCTGCCATGCATTGCTGTGGCCTAGTCTGTGTATATGTGTTTTGTGTGTATATATATTTGTGTATATATGTGTGTGTTTGCATGTGTGTGTGTGTGTGTGTGTGTGTGGTTTTGTGCATGCGTTGTAATGTATTTTTTTATTATTATTATTTTTGGCTTTTTAAGTGCCTTCTGCTGTGTTTTCCAGTGTTTTTAGGAGTGATGGTCACTTGTTGGCCTGACAGGTGTCTTGTGTCCAAATCTGGTGTCAATTCGTCCAGGTGTTTTTGAGTTATGTCAGTAACACAAACTAACATTACATTTTTATTTATATAGATTGAAGATATTTCCACCCTGCCTTTCTCCACAGCCAGATCCAAAGCATATGAAACACACAATATCAACAATAAAATCTAAAAGGCAAAAGTTAAAACAAGCTAAAAACACTTCTACGATTAAAAAAAATAAATTCCCCCTCCCCATATCACCTCCTCAATAAATAGTCGTAAACTTTGAAACTCAACGTAAATTATACGTTTAACTTGATTCAAATTCATTTCTTCCCCTTGAATAAACATCTTTGTATTCTATGTGTTGTTGGAGGCTTTCATGGCCAGAATCACTGGGTTTCTGTGAGTTTTCGGGGCTGTATGGCCATGTTCTGGAAGCATTCTCTCCTGACGTTTCACCCACATCTATGGCAGGCATCCTCAGAGGTAGTGAGGTCTGAGGGAAACTAGGCAAGTGGGGTTTATATATTGTGGAATGTCCAGGGTGGCAGCCAGGCTTTGAAGCTGCTGGGCTATTCAATGCTAATCAAGCTGGCCAACTGCAACATTCACACTTGCCTCAAACAGACAAGAGTTCTTTCTCTTGTCAGATATATAAGCCCCACTTGCCTAGTTTCCAACAGACCTCACAACCTCTGAGGATGTCTGCCATAGATGTGGGTGAAGGGTCAGGAGAGAATGCTTCCAGAACATGGCTATACAGCCCAGAAAACTCACAACAACCCAGCCTTGTATTCTTTTTCAATATACATACTAGAGCATAATTTGGCACAATTCATTTTATTGAACTTTAATTAGAGTTTACAGCAGGCCTAATATTTATGGTTTTCATTTGGTTTTAAGTTTTAAATTGCATGTTTTATTGGCTGTCAGTCGCCTTGGCCCCTTGAGTGGGGAAAGGTGGGATATAAATTGCTTAAATGAGTAAACAACAGAGCTTTACAACTGGGGCCATTGTGTTTTAAGACCAAGCTATATAACCTGTTTTAATTTGTCCACAACGGGTGCATGTTTCACTGGGATTATTCCTGGATTTTGCATAAACCAGTTACTCAAACAAAAAAATAACAAAGATAAAAAAAGAACTGGATTGTGTTGCCATGCCCTGAAAGTTCTCTCTCTCCTTTTAGAGGCAGCTATGTCATCTAATCAGGAATTTCTGTTTGAAGAGGCTGAACAAAAGAAATCAAATAGCCCATTTTTCTCTAATGTACAAAGAAGTGCATTAAGTGATGATCTGTTAAGGTAAGATTTTTTAAATGATCAGAAAATTAACGGACATTTTAATTTTGAATAATTAACAAATGTGGCAATTTGAATGTATTAGTGTACATCCATTCATAAATGTTAGAGAACCTATAAGTGAGATCATGGCCCCTACTACACTGCTATATAATCCAGATTGTCAAATCATATAATCCACATTATTTGCTTTGAACTGGATTATACTAGTCTACACTACCATATAATCCAGTTCAAAGCAGATCATCTGGATTTTATATGGCAGTGTAGATGGTGCCTGTGTGGGAGGTAAATTCTCTGGAAAAGTAGCTAAGAGTGATAGTTGGCTGTTATTTATTTATTTATTTATTTGCTTTACTTCTATACTGCCTTTCTCAGCCGAAATGGCGACTCAAGGCGGTTTACATAGTAAAGGTTAACACAACATCAAAAAAGCAGTTAAAAACACATTATATAAAACATATCAAGTCAAAAACAATCATTATCATAGACATGCGCCTCAGCAAACAAATCAGAATCAGAATCCGTAATCATAATCCTTTATACCAATTCCTATGTTCAGTTGTACCATCTTACTGTATTTCATTGCACTATTTAGCCAAACGCTTGTTCGTAAAGCCAAGTCTTGACCTTCCTCCGGAATGCCAGCAGTGAAGGGGCCTGTCTGATGTCCACAGGTAGGGCGTTCCACAGCCGAGGGGCCACCACCGAGAAGGCCCTGTCTCTCGTCCCCGCCAACCGCGCCTGCGATGCGGGCGGGACCGAGAGCAGGGCCTCCCCAGACGATCTTAATGTCCTAGTCGGTTCATAGGAGGAGATGCGTTCGGAGAGGTAAGTAGGGCCAGAACCGTTTAGGGCTTTATAGGCTAAAGCCAGCACCTTGAATTGTGCCCGGTAGCAGATTGGCAGCCAGTGGAGCTGGCGCAACAGAGGAGTGGTGTGCTCCCTGAGTGCCGCTCCTGTTAGCAACCTGGCTGCCGAACGTTGGACCATTTGAAGCTTCCGAGCAGTCTTCAAGGGCAACCCCACGTAGAGAGCGTTGCAGTAGTCTAAGCGGGATGTAACCAGAGCGTGGACTACCGTGGCCAAGTCAGACTTCCCAAGGTATTTATTTATTTCACAGTTTTCTATACCGAGCTTCTCAACCTCATTGAGGGACTCAGCCCGGTTTCCAGCCATAAAAAACATATAAACTCATTAAAATATCATATATCACAATTCACTTAATACATCTGTTTTCCTAGAATCACAGAATCTTAGAGTTGTAAGAGACCACAAAGTCATCCAGTCCAACCCCCTGCTGTGCAGCAAAACACAATCAAAGCACCCCCAACAGATGGTCATCCAGTCTCTGCTTAGAATCCTCCAGAGAAAAGGACTCCACCACACTCCAAGACAGCAGCTTATTCCTCTGCCAGAACAGCTCTTACCCTCTCTTAGTTCTTCCTAATGTTTAGGTGGCATCTCTTTTCCTAAAGTTTTAATCTGTTGCTCCATGTCCTAGTCTCTAGAAAACAAACTTGACCCCTCCTCAAGGGGATACCTTTCAAATATTTAAACACAACTGCCAAGTTCCCTCTCAGTTGTCTTTCCTCCAAGCTAAACATACCCAGTTTCCTAAGCTGCTTTGCTTCTAAACGATTCCTTTTAAAATCATTCCTTTGGTTGCAAGTTTTTTCTCATGACAGCATAGAAATGGTTGCAGGGAAATTACATCCTGGATTCTTAATTAAGTATATATGGACCATATTCACATATTTCATTACACTTACAACATACTAGGAAATGACTTTATTTGTTGAGACAGAAATATTTGTTGTTGTTTATTCGTTCAGTCATTTCCGTGACCTCATGGACCGGTCCACACCAGAGCTCCCTGCTGGCTGTCACCACCCCCAGCTCATTCAAGGTTAAGCCAGTCACTTCAAGGATACCATCCATCCATCTTGCCCTTGGTCGCCCCCCCCCCCCTTCCTTTTTCCTTTCATTTTCCCCAGCATCATTATCTTTCTCCAAGCTTTCCGGTCTTATTATGTGGCCGAAGTGTTTCATCTTTGCCTTCAATATCCTTCCCTCCAGTGAGTAGTTGGGCTTTATGTCCTGGAGTTTGGACTAGTTTGATCTTCTTGCCGTCTAAGGCACTCTCAATTTTCCTCCAACACCACAGTTCAAAAGCATCTATCTTCCTTTGCTCAGCCTTCCTTATGGTGAAGCTCTCGCATCCATAGGTTACTACGGGGAATACCATTGCTTTAACTATGCGGATTTTTGTTCCCAGTGTGATGTCTCTGCTCTTCACTATTTTATCGAGATTGGTCATTGCTCTTCTCTCAAGAAGTAAACGTCTTCTGATTTTCTGGCTGCAGTCTGCGAAATATTAGAATGTTAAAATCTGTCTCTGTTGGGAAATAATGTAATAGGTGTGTTACTTTTGAATGTGCTGTTGTTACAAGAAACAGTTCAAATGCAATTTTTATTTTTTTTCCAGCCATAGGAAAGAATCTTCCAACACTCCTCTTTCTAGTCCACTCACAAGCGGAGGGTCAGACAGCAGGTCTACAAGTTTTTTCATGGCCCTGAATTCAGCTGTTGAAAATATGGAGCAAAGAACTCAGCAACTGGTTGACAAAATTAATGAGGATCGGAAGAAAGATCACGAGTTCATGAATACGTTCAGAGAAAATCTTTTGCTAAAGGTAAATTTATCTAGTTATAATGCACAAGTTAGATTCTGATTAATCGAGAATAACTACAAGTCCCCTAAATTATTGTATTTTCTTCCCATTTCTTAGTGTTCTGAGTTCGCTTCTTGTACTTAATCAATACTCAAAAATCAATAAAACCAAGTATTGTCGAAGGCTTTCATAGCCGGAATCACTGGGTTGTTGTAGGTCTTTTCGGGCTATATGGCCATGTTCTAGAGGCATTTTCTCCTGACGTTTTGCTTGCATCTATGGCAAGCATCCTCAGAGGTAGTGAGGTCTATTGGAACTAGGAAAATGGGTTTATATATCTGTGGAATGACCAGGGTGGGACAAAGAACTCTTGTCTGCTGGAGCTAGCTGTGAATGTTTCAACTGACCACCTTGATTAGCATTTGATGGCCTGGCAGTACCTGGGGCAATCTTTTGTTGAGAGGTGATTAGATGTGCCTAATTGTTTCCCCTCTGTTGTTTTGCTGTTGTAATTTTAGAATTTTTTAATACTGGTAGCCAGATTTTGTTCATTTTCATGTTTCCTACTTTCTGTTGAAATTGTCCACATGCTTGTGGATTTCAATGGCTTCTCTGTGTAGCCTGACATAGTGGTTGTGAGAGTCATCCAGCATTTCTGTGTTCTCAAATAATATGCTATGTCCAGGCTGCTTCATCAGGTGCTCTGCTATGGCTGACTTCTCTGGCTGAAGTAGCCTGCAGTGCCTTTCATGTTCCTTGATGCGTGTTGGGCAGTGCTGCGTTTGGTGGTCCCTATGTAGACTTGTCCACAGCTGCATGGTATACGGTAGACTCCTGCAGAAGTGAGAGGATCCCTCTTGTCCTTTGCTGAATGTAGCATTTGTTGGATTTTCTTGGTGGGTCTGTAGATAGTTTGTATGTTGTGTTTCTTCATCAAATTTCCTAGAGGGATCCTCTCACCTCTGCAGGAGTCTACCATGTACCATGCAGCTGTGGACAAGTCTACATAGGGACCACCAAATGCAGCATTGCCCAAACACGAATCAAGGAACATGAAAGGATGCTTGCCATAGATGCAGGCGAAACGTCAGGAGAAAATGCTTCTAGAACATGGCCATATAGCCTGAAAAAAACCTACAACAACCCAATAACACCAAGTATTTTAGAAGAAATTAGTCACTAGAATCTTTTACTTGCTCAGAACATCTTTCTCCCAAAAATTCAGATATGGTTGCATCTTTCCCATTTTCCACACTGAAAATATTTTCAGCATCCATCCTATTTCCTCTTTTCAGTATGTTCTTTAATATAATGTGACTCTTTTCATGTAAAGAACTGCTCAAATGTTCTTTCTGGCATTTGTATTACACTATGTAACACGATTTTTGTTCCTGGGTTATAAATGTAATTTCCTAATTGGTTCTAACATTAAAAATATGGAAAAGTTTATTAAACTGCACAAACTTTGTTTTTGCGGGACATCCTGCAGCACATTTTGCTATAGTTTTCCAGTGACTATCTTGTAGAGTCCCAACCAATTCAACATAGTGTGTGGCAGCCACAAAAATGAAGTTTCTGGAGTATAACAACTCATTTCAAAGTAAGAACCACACAATTAAAAAGGAAAGAATACTTTCAAACCAGGAATGGAATTTTTCAAATTTAGTTTCATAGTATTACTGCTCCCCCTGCTCTCTGCTCAATTTCCTTTTTTTCCCCTGGTGACTTAAAAGTTACACCACAGGAGCTGCTAAGTCTATTAATATCAACCTTTGTGCTGTTTCAAAGGACACGATTGGTGGTTGGATTCTAACTGCATAGCTGCTCCTTAAATTTCCGATCATTCCACTGATGTATGGTTGTAACTATTCATTGTTGTTATTTGTCCAAAAGTGGACCTCAAGTTATGGATGGGACAACTCCAAGAACCATAGTTCATGATGATGAAAAATCATGGCTGTAAATTACTTGATTGTGTCAAACACCCTGTAATGCGGTCTCCCTCATTCCTAATATTGCACCATCATCTTTTCTAACAACTCACACTGTCTCGTGTCATTTTATGATATTTACTCAAATTAGCCATTACTAAATTCTCATATGGTTATACATGGATATGTTTGCAAGTGTTGAGAAGTAAAATTTGTCAAAGTCTTTTAACTTAGGACAATCCCTTCATAAAGGATTAAAAAAAATCTTTAGCTCTCATTAATTCTTCTCTTCTGAAAGGTTTCAAGCTTGGCAGAAAAGTTGGAAGAAAGGGCGTTTTATGTTTATGACCATAATAGCAAGCTAATTCAGGACAAACTCCAAGAGTTTTCTGAAATTATGGAGAGGATCAGGCAGATTGAGACCGAGCTTAGACAAGTCTGTAACACTGTTGAAATATTGTATAAAGACCTGTGCGGTCAACCTGAACTGTGATAACATACAGAAAAAAAAGAAAGATACAAAAAACAAAAACATTTGAACCCATGTGTTATTTGGGTTCATGCAATTTGTAATGTATGTTTATTTAGAATGGAAATAAATATTCAGAACTATTTGAAATTAAATAAATATTTCTAATGTTGACTATAAGCTTTCAATTACTTTGTTACTTCAACATCTCAAATGTGTAAATTTGTTGGCGTTCATTGATTCTGGGAAACCACAAATACGAAATAGTTTATCTGTAAACGAACAGGTGCAAGCTCTCATTGCCAAATATTAAAATCATGCAATCACATATTGTATAAAATGCTATAAAACAGTGATCTCACAAACATCAAGTATTCAGAGAACTTACAAAATTCATTAAGTTAAATTCAGGGAACTTCGATTCAACTTTTAAAAGCTTGTGATAGAATGAGGATGCTATTGGTGTTACAGGAGCCCCCAGTGGCGCAGTGGGTTAAACCTCTGTGCTGGCAGGACTGAAGACAGACAGGTCGCAGTTTCGAATCTGGGGAGAGGCGGATGAGCTCCCTCTATCAGCTCCAGCTCCTTATACAGGGACATGAGAGAAGCCTCCCACAAGGATGATAAAAACATCAAAAATCATCTGGGCGTCTCCTAGGCAACATCCTTGCAGGCAGCCAATTCTCTCACACCAGAAGTGACTTGCAGTTTCTCAAGTCGGAGCTGACTCCGACTTGAAATGGTATTACATTCACAATAGAGTCCTTAGTTAAAGATCATCAAGGTCTTGGAAACGTGGTTGCCAACTAATTTTATCAATAATCACAGGTTTGTCCAAAACAACTGCTTCCTCATGCATACCAGACAACAGTTGGCCATGTTCTAGAAGTATATACTGTAACAATTCTTCTATAATAGCAGGTTAGGCTGGCCAACAAGATGACTAGAGCTTAGATAGTATTTTACCATCTAATGCAGCTGAACTGTGGATAAACCATTGTGCTGTAGCTTTGCCATAAAAACGCTGTAACCGTGGGTTGTTGTATGTTTTTTGGGCTGTATGGCCATGTTCTAGAAGTATATACTGTAACAACTATTCTATAATAGCAGCGATCACTAGAAGTGAATGGTCTTATAAATTATCTTATTTCTTACCTTCAGCTTGCCCTGTCCGTCCTGAAACCTGCTTTATAAAATGTTATTTTAAAATATGGTCTATCTATATCCAAAGGTGCTGATGATACAAATAATCCAATTAAAACAGTAAAACAATGTAAAATCAAACCATACAGCTAAAGAATGCATCTGCTTTAGCAGCCTGTAAACTTTTCATCAAATTCAGATGACCTACATGTCAGCCTATTACATTGTACTACTTCCTTTGCCGTCTCTCTTTTTTCAGATCCATCTTTCAGATATTTGCTTCCAGTTATAGACTGGTAAAAGGTCTCTTTCTACCATTAATTTGCGACTTTGTTGCTACTCCTGTATCTTTAGCTACTTCTTGCTTAGAGCTGCAGCAGCATAACTGATGAACTCACCTTTTAACTTCTCTTCATTCAGTTCCTTTTCCCATGGTGGGGGCGGGGATTAATTACTGTCTCCCTCAGTGTTAAGAAACAATTGAAAACCATAGCCTTTAGGACGCAGATTTATCTAAGGAGTAATGGGGGATCACTTCTGCAGCAATTTATTTGTCGTGTCAGGGCAACCAGTCAATTGTATTACATTTCTAACAGAACAAAGCAAACAAACAGATAAAATACAGCATTTGTGAGTTTGGTAGTTGGTTAAATGTCCTTTGACCAGTAGCTGGCCACTTGGAGTGCCTCTGGTGTTGCTGCAAGAAGGTCCTCCATTGTGCATGTGGCAGGGCTCAGGTTGCATTGCAGTAGGTGGTCTGTGGTTTGCTCTTCTCCGCACTCGCATGTCGTGGATTCCACTTTGTAGCCCCATTTCTTGAGGTTGGCTCTGCATCTTGTGGTGCCAGAGCGCAGTCTGTTCAGCGCCTTCCAAGTCGCCCAGTCTTCTGTGTGCCCAGGGGGGAGTCTCTCATTTGAGGTTCTGGGTTTGAGCCTGCCACTTTTGGACTCTCGCTTGCTGAGGTGTTCCAGCGAGTGTCTCTGTAGATCTTAGAAAACTATTTCTTGATTTAAGTCATTGACGTGCTGGCTGATATCCAAACAGGGGATGAGCTGGAGATGTCACTGCCTTGGTCCTTTCACTATTGGTTGCTACTTCCCGGTGCATGTCAGGTGGTGCAATACCGGCTAAACAGTGTAATTTCTCCAGTGGTGTAGGGCGCAGACACCCCGTGATAATGCGGCATGTCTCATTAAGAGCCACATCCACTGTTTTAGTGTGGTGAGATGTGTTCCACACTGGGCATGCATACTCAGCAGCAGAGTAGCAAAGCACAAGGGCAGATGTCTTCACTGTATCTGGTTGTGATCCCCAGGTTGTGCCAGTCAGCTTTCATATGATATTGTTTCTAGCACCCACTTTTTGCTTGATATTCAGGCAGTGCTTCTTGTAGGTAAGAGCAATGTTACTGTACTAAACAGGAAGTATACACAAAAAGTGAGCTTATAGGAGACATTTGCTGAACAGTACATTCTTCTTAGTACAAGGCTTTTAGTTGTGGGGACAGGCACTGTTGGATTATATGCATACAACAAAAATACCACTTATATAAGGTAAACAATAATAGAATTCAACAAACAGTTATATAAACATGTTGTACTGTTCAATTTCACATTGATGTCAAACAATATTGTGTAAATTTTGGTACAGTCGTATCTTCTTATGTTGGGTAGCTTATAGATCAGCCATCCACGGCTGGTTTCGGCCTACTTCAGGCCTTCTTCTGGTGGAAAAGTTATACACTTGAGAATTTGTTCTCCTCAGGAGATACAGATTTTTGGCTGTGAGAACTCAACATACAGCAGAGTATCATATACCACTGAGCCAAAAAATCTGTATCTCCTGAGGAGAACAAACCAGTCAGCACATCTACAAGACCTATTTAAAGTGTCTGTTATCCTATAAGGCAGTGGTTCTCAACCTTCCTAATGCCGTGACCCCTTAATACAGTCCCTCATGTTGTGGTGACCCCCAACCATAATATTGTTTTTGTTGATACTTCATAACAGTCATTTTACTACTGTTATAAATCATAATGTAAATATCAGACATGCAAGATGTATTTTCATTCACTGGACCAAACTGGGCACAAATACCCAATGCACCCACATGTAAATGCTAGTGGGGTTGGGGGATTGATTTTGTAATTTGGGAGTTGTAGTTGCTGGGATTTATAGTTCACCTATAATCAAAGAGCATTCTGAACTCCACCAGCGATGGATTTGAACCTAATTTGCCACACAGAACTCCCATGACCAATGGAAAACACTGGAAGGTTTGGTGGGTATTGACCTTGAGTTTGGGAGTTGTAGTTCACCTATATCCAGAGAGCACTGTGGACTCACGCAATGGTGGATCTGGACCAAACTTGGCACAAATACTCAATATGCGCAAATGTGAACACTGGTGGAGCCTGGGGAAAATAGACCTTGACTTTTGGGAGTTGTAGTTGCTGGGATTTATAGTTCATTACAATCAAAGAACATTCTGAACTCCACCAACGATAGAATTGGCTCAAACTTCCCACATGGAATCCCCATGACCTACAGAAAATACTGTGTTTTCTTATGGTCTTTGGCGACCCCTCTGACACCCCCTTCGTGACCCCCTCAGGGGTCCCGACCCCCAGGTTGAGAAACACTGCTATAAGGGAAAGTATGCATTTCCTCATGCCTTGTGAATTAATTTGAGAACATCTTTAAACTACTGCTACTCTTCAGCAATAATTATAGGATCTGTCGAGAGTGAAGGAAAAAGACAAAGAGATCATAAATGTAATGGAAATGGTTTTTCTAGAGCAGTGGTTCCCCAGATGTTTTGGCCTTCAACTCCCAGAAATCCTTACAGCTGATAAACTGGCTGGGATTTCTGGGAGTTGTAGGCCAAAACACCTGGGGACCCACAGGTTGAGAACCACTGTTCTAGAACAAAATCTTTGGTATGTAAGTTACAGTATTTCCTCTTCTGATCATAGTATGATCGGATCGTATTCTGAACCAATCATGTTGCTAGGTTTGGCCTTTACCTGGTCACATAAATAACTATCAGCTGTGGAAAATTTGTTATGTTCTGTTTATTCTTTCAGAAACAAAAAAAAACATACAGTACATTCAAAAAAGCTTAGATAGGACAGTAATCCCTCAAACATTTTTCCAAAGGGTTCAAATAAGTTGCACAGTCGTTTTTTTTAACAAACAGGGGCAGAAAGGACACTAAAGTGCAGTAGATTGCTCAAGGCTGCATTGGAAGGCTGAAGGCAGAATGGACAGTACGTTCTGGTTTCCAACCACAACATTTTAATGTGTTGTAGGTCCCCAGTGAAACAATTCAACCAGTAGTTGAGCCCTGGAATTTTAATCTCATTTAATTTTAATTTTAAAACAACGAACAAATGGTAATTATGTACACAGATAAGAATCCAACAAAAGCCAAGGCTCTTATTCTGGTTGCATCTTGTAATAACAAGACTTTTCCGTAAGTGTAATCAATTATATATTCTACCAGACTGCCCCATAGCCTATTTGGCAATTTCTGAGCCTTGCATTGCCCGACACCATTGTTTGCTTTGCTTACCATCCCTGCCACCCCAACCCCATCTTGCCTGCCACCCAATACAAGGACAGTCCACAGTCATTACAGTGTGCTCTTTTCACATATTGCAGCATTTAGAAAGTTTTTTTTTCTTTTTCTCCATTTCAAATGGAAACATCTCATTTTGGTATTATTTCAAATTAATTATGAACAAGTAAGCTGAGGTGAATTTGACCAGAGCCTGATCAAGAGCAGTCACGCTCCACTTATAAATCAACAGTGACATGTCAAACCATTTCCACTGATCTTCCTACACTGGAGCAGCAAAGCTGAATCCCGGAGAAACGTGTTCAGTTGCCAACAGTGAAAGCCTGAAGCCCAGTGATAGCTCGGCCTAAGATGAGCGCATGGATGTCGTGGGTTCCTGAGGGCAAAAGACAATGAAGAGATGGTCAGAGTTTGACGTCTTTTCTTTTATTTATTTAAAACATAGCTAAATACATCTGAAATCACTCGTCCGCTCAATGGGCACACAATGAGGTACACACATCAATTGATAAATCGGGTATTATTTTTGTTAATGCTAAATAATAATAATGCAAGTATAACTAAAATAATGTGTCAGACACCAATTACATGTATGGAAAATCTGATGACCAACTGTCAGCTCAGAAGTCCCTGTCCTCGTCAACTGGAATCAAAATGGTCAAAAATTAAGACTCATACCTATAAAGACTCTTAGGGTTATAATTACCCATTCAAATGCTATTTTCCCCACTGCCCTATCTCACTTTCACCCAAACAGCATTTTTTTTTATAAAACTGAATGTGACCATCATAAAGGGGAGTAAAAATGGAGAAGACACCAAGGCCGCAATGGAGACCCACCCCTGCACTGTATCATTAATGTCATTAATGGACCAAACCTAGAGAACTACTAATTAAGTATTTCAATAGCATTTTGCCACCAAATGCCATTCAAGGCCTAGACATTAGCATGCTAAGAGAAAGCAGCATTAGAACTTTTTTGCCTGTCTATGTTCTCAATCCTCAATCCTATTCTGAGATTTGGAGACAGTTGCTGTTTCTTTTCCATGGTGTTACGAGTATAAGAGATCATGGAAACAGAAATCCACAATATGTCTCCTTCCCACACTGGCAATATCCATCTCCAAATAGGATAACAAACACAAAGAAGAGTCAATGACAGAAGAGCTTTGTCACTGACTCCTACTGTGTGGTCTGCAGAATACATTACCCCAGCGGTAATGGTAAAGGGTCATGTCCCTTCTCTCATACATAATAATAATAATAATAATAATAATAATAATAATAATAATAATCAACTTTATTTATACCCCGCTCCATCTCCCCCAGGGGGACTCGGTGCTGCTTACATCATACATCAATATCACTTCCAGTTTTGTTTCCAGCCAATTTTTTTGGGCATTTTGGAGTGGATTTGTTTTAGAAGGAGGGTATGGGATTTTTTTAGAGGGTATGGGATCCATACTTCAAGAAATAAAGCCTGACTGCTCATTGGAGGGAAGAACAGTAGAGGCCAAGATGAAGTACTTTGACCACATCATGAGAAGACAGGAAAGCTTGGAGAAGACAATGATGCTGGGGAAAATGGAAGGAACAAGGAAGAGGGGCCAACCAAGGGCAAGATGGATGGATGGAATCCTTGAAGTGACTGGCTTGACCTTGAAGGAGCTGGGGGTGGTGACTGACAGGGAACTCTGGCGTGGACTGGTCCATGAAGTCACGAAGAGTCGGAAACAACCGAACGAATGAACAACAACATGGGATTTTGGAAGAGTTTGGGAAATGTCGAAACAAATCCATTATGGTGCATATTTTGAGTCATTTAGACTGTTTTGGCTAAATAATTTAATCAAATTGGGGTTTGGGGGAGGGCTGCACTCCACAAGCCAGATGTTATCATATCCAAAAGTCTCCAGTAGAAGCTCCCAGGCCACAGAATAATGTTAGAATGATCACATAGCCAACAACCTGTGGCTTCCAGATGTTTTAGGACTTCAGCTCCCAGGATTCCTGATCATTGGACAGGCTAGCTACAGCTTCTGGAAGTTGGAGGCCCAAACACCTGGAAAGCCACATGTTGTGCAGCTTTGCTTTAGATCTACAATGCATATGGATCAGATGATGCTGAAGTATGGACTAAGTATCTTCTGATGCACTGAACAAAGGATGAGTATTTTAGTACTTCAAAGCATATATACAGAGGAATAAATGGATGAGTTTGGGTTATAAATCTGTAGCATTTTCGTTCACGCCCACCTCGCACCACCTCCATGATCCTCATTCGAAGTTACCCAAAAATGAGACTTGCATTTCCCAGGAGCAACTGGGACACCATCTTACCTTCATAGGTGTTGACAGCCTCCAGGTTCATGACATGCCTGATAACATGGTACTCGTCTGCAATTCCATTGCCTCCCAGCATATCACGTGCTTGCCGGGCAATCTCCAGCGCTTTCCCGCAGGAATTCCGTTTCAACATGGAGATCATCTCGGGAGTTGCTCTGGGAACACATAACAGAGACTAGAACAGAGGACTTTTTTTTTTTTACCTAAATGCAAGGAGAGACAGCCCAATGTTATAGGATGCAAAATACATTAGTTATCATATCTAAGCATTAAAAACAAAACAAAGCAGATGGCCAGGGAGGTAGTCAAACTGAGCCATAACACTATGATTTGAGCACCAATCCTTTCATTGCCTGCTGCAGTTTACACAAAAAAAAATCAGGCCCCAACCTTGTTATTAGCTTTGGGAGTGAAGTGTTCATGGGGAATAATGGGCCAATAGCTGCTGCAGGAAGGCAATTTTTATTAGCACAAGAACAGGAAAAGTCTTCGCCTCCATACACACTGCAATCTGAGCAACTCAACCTTTTGGTATTAAATTTGCTTTAAAGCTTTAACATTATCAATAAGGACATGTTTATCATCAACTCCAGTTTGGCTCGGAGTTAGCAGTAAAGAGTCAACGCAATAAGATGAGTAAGGGACTCATTGATAGCATTTCAGAGGTTGAAGATTTGTGATGAAGATTAAAAATATGCAATGTGCAGTTAAGAAACTAGTACACCAAAGAAAAACTTTTAAGACAGTTCTCTCCCAGCTGTGTTGGTACACCAACATTGGATTTTCAAAGTAATTTGAAATTTGCTCTTAGCTCCTTCTCCCTCAGATTGCTAAACTTGATTTCCTGCCCTCACATAATTTTCAGTCCTTGACTGAGGCTTTCGTTGATGTTTGGGAAGTGAAAAGTCATTTGCCTTCATTGCAGTTCAAGCCCAATAGGCTCTCACTATTGAAGCGACACTGATGTGCAATTATCCTCATGTACATACTTACTTATCTTCGTCTTTCAAGCGGCCCAGTTGTAGACAAGCCTGTAAGCCAATGGTGATCTCAGTGAGCATGTCAGCCAACTTCTTTTGGATGAGCTGGTTTCTTGCCAGTGGGACATTAAACTGCATCCTAGAAGATACTATTGGTTGGTGAGATACGCCAGTATACAGCTAAAATGATGGGAAAACTCAGCCAGTTGAATGATATTGTGCAGCTCCTCTGAGTCCACTTCATTATTTATTATTTAATTATTTATGTCCAACCTTTCTACCCCATCCTTCTCAACCCTCAAAGGGGGACTCAGAGTGGCTTACAACAGCAGCAATTCGATAATAATAAAATAAAATAACATTTTATTTATATACCGCTCCATCTCCCCGAGGGGACTCAGAGCGGTTCCCAGGTAACATCACAAAATATACAAAGTAAAAAAAAACAACATAAACAACATACAAACAAATTACATACAACATTACATACATCATCATCTTATCCCTGAATTATAACTGGAGTATTATTTATTTATTTACAGCTTTTATATTCCGCCCTTCTCACCCCGCAGGGGACTCAGGGCGGATTACAGTGTACACATATATGGCAAACATTCAATGCCAATTTTTGACATACAAACATAGACAGACATACACAGAGGCTATTTAACTTTTTCTGGCCGCCAGGGAGCTGTCGCTTTCATCGTCCATCTGCGACGCTGATGAAGCACTTCCGCATTCCCCGCATGCTTCCCCACTGGAATGCTTTGCTGGAGTCTTCTTTATGGCCTCATAAATCAGTTAATTTAGCCTCCCCACAATTTAAGGTGGTACCTTATCTTCCTACTTGACAGATGCAACTGTCTTTCGGGTTGCAAAGGTCGACAACAGGCTACACACAATTGGTTGGAAACCCACTCCAACCCGGGCTGGCTTTGAACTCATGACCTTTTGGTCAGAGTGATCTTAATGCAGCTGACACTCAGCCAGCTGTGCCACAATCCCAGAGTAATGCCTTTCATAGTCATTGTGAGGTTGCATGAGTAGGGAATGGTTGGCCCTCCAAATGTTGATGGGCTACTATTCCCACAATTCCATACCACTGACTTGGTAGGCTAGGACTGATGTGGGGTTCAGCAACATCTGGAGGGTGATGTATCCCCTACCTCTGATCAAGAAAGCAATATAAGGAAGAGAGATATCAAAACTCAATACATGAGGTGGACCTTGCTAGCTATCTTCATTGGTTATGAGATTCAACAGTACAGTTACAAGAGAAAGAGGGAGTATACTGAGAAACTGGAATCTAGGTTCTTGTGGGTTTTTTCGGGCTATAGGCCATGTTCTAGAGGCATTTCTCCTGACGTTTCGCCTGCATCTATGGCAAGCATCGTCAGAGGTAGTGAGGTCTGTTGGAATTAGGACAATGGGTTTATATATCTGCTGCATCGCCTAACAAGGCCATTCCATAGCTGATGGAGAGCATGTGTGGAGAGGATCAGAAAAGCATCTCACTGGGTCATCATAGCCAAATGTGAAATAATTACATCATTTTTGAGACCTTCTATTGGAACAAATTTGTGTAATCATTTTCCACTAGTTACAAGGACACCTACAGACACTTCTTCAATACCCCTACCCATGGCTCCCCATAAAGGAGAGTGGAGCTACAGTAACTCAATAAGCTTGGAGCATAGCAAACGGCCAGTTTTGGTATATTCTTTTTGTGGAACTGCAATGCTATACTGGGCCATACAAGATTTCAGCAAGTCTGTCCTATTCCAAGGAGGGGAAATTTTCATACCAGATTACTGCTCTTCAAATCCTCAAATAAAAATGTCTAGCATGCCATTCAAGCCTGTCTGTTGGAAGACCCCATTTCAAATCATTATTCAGTCATGAACACTGAGGCTTGACTGACAGATGCTTTAAACCAAAGCACCTGTCTTCAAGAACTTTTTCGATCTACCTGCAAGACAGGAATAGCCATAGTGGCTTAAGTGACAAGGCTGGAGTCAAAATCACCATGACAATGCAAGTAAAAGGATGACATCTCAAGAAGTAGAAGAGAGCCAGTGTAGTACTTTTGAGAATTAGACTACGCCTTGGGCAGCCAAAGTTGAAATCCTCAACTTCAGAGGGAAGCAAAGGTAGCTCCTCTTTTAACAAATCTTGCCTCACAAAAAGTGTGATAAGTTAGGTTTGTTTATTTATTTATTATTATTTCAAATACTAGCCATCCTCCGCCACAAGTTGCTGTGGCCCAGTCTGTGTATATGTGTTTTATGTGTATATATTTGTGTATATGTGTGTTTGCGTGTGTGTGTATATGTGTGTGTGTATAGTTTTGTGCATGCGTTGTAATGTATCTTTTATTTTTTGGCTTTTTAAGTCCCTTCTGTTGTGTTTTCAGTGTTTTTATGAGTGACGGTCACTCGTTGGCTCGACAGGTGTATTGTGTCCAAATTTGGTGTCAATATGTCCAGTGGTTTTTGAGTTATGTTAATCCCACAAACGAACATTACATTTTTATTTATATAGATTTGTACCCCGCCCTTCTCAACACCCCCCCCCCCCGGGGGGGGACTCAGGGCGGCTTCCAGCAGCAATTCGATGCCTCCATGTGTACATAATAAAATACATAATAAAACCAATAGTTGCATACAATTAAAACATTGAATCAATTCAATTAAAAATATGCTTAAATATTACAGCCTAAGTTCCACTTATATATACCATGTGTCAGAAATGACTTGAAGGCATACAACAACAACAACAACTGCACATATTATTGCAACTACATGTTTGTTCTTTGTTGTGTATTCACCTCTAAATCCACTCTCATCCCCTCTTGTCTGAGACCTTACCTGTCCAGGGTGTACTGCCGGGCCGTCTGCATACAGAATTCAGCAGCTCCCAGGGCTCCCCATGCGATGCCATAGCGAGCATTGTTCAGACAGCCAAAGGGACCCTGGAGAGGAAAGGAAAGTACTGAGAATTCAACTAAAATTGTCTGGGACACCCCCATTGTTCTACAAAATGGCTCTCTACATCCCGCTCCCTTGGAGCTCTGAAAGTACAATTTCAAACAGCATCACTTAAAATATTGCCCACATGAGAAGGCAGCTATTTTTAAAATGTGTGACCAAACAGTGACCATAAATTATACAGATCTCTAACAACAAGGCAGAAGCAAGAACTTATGGATGACGTGAAGAGACAGAGCACCCATACTGAGGTGTGTCTAATTCTAATAGTTTCCATTTCTGTTTAGATAAACTGAAATCTCCATCTCATCTATAATCAAGCTGAAACAATATAGGAAGCCTGTTCAGAACTCATGCCACACAGTTTTTAGGTTAGCCAAGGAAAAGTTCCCAACACAAAGGAACACTTGTGGATGAATAGTGACTCCAGCACATTTTATAGCAGGACAAATAACATCCCAAATAACAAGCCCACCAACATGAGTTTTACAGGTTGTGGTGAGGCTATACCTGTGTTTCCCTATGCATACTGTTCTTTGGTCAGGTAGACAAAGTTTATAGTCCTAGCAATTTTTCTGTGTTAAATCTGTCACATCTACAACATGTCCGTTTGCTAAAATGCAAAAAAAGAGTAATCCTACTAATTCTTTGAAATGTTTGCCCAAGTTATTTCAGATCTTCAACCCTTTTTGAGTGCAACGCTATTTTATATCATTAATTTCAGATATGTTTTATCTGCTTTGCTAGAAACACTGTCATTCATACTAGCATGGCATTTTCCAAGTAACAGTTTTTTGCTAGCTGAACTGTTGCGTGGGCTTTTCATCATTTTTATCAGAGATCAAATAAACATCACTTTTGCAATTTTATCCTCATTGTCCAGCTTTGCCCAAATTTTCTGCTAAATGAACTGGACTATCTGGCCCTATATTCCAGGATCGGATCCCAGAATATCTGCTTATCCCAGATTATCTGGCAGTGGAGACTCATATAATCCAAATCAAAGCAGATAACCTGGGATTAAATCTTGGGATATAAGGCAGTGCAAAAGACACCTGAGGTAGTTTGTGGGTTAAGTACAGAATCAGCACTGCTGTTGTGTGCCTTCAAATATTTATAATAATAATTTTTATTTATTACCCATCTCTCCTTTTGGCTCGATAAGGGCCTGTAATGTGCCCTTCTTTTTATTTTACAATGTAACCATATCATGAGAAGACAGGAAAGCTTAGAGAAGACAATTATGCTGGAGAAAATGGAAGGAAAAAGGAAGAGGGGCCGACCAAGGGCAAGATGGATGGATGGTATCCTTGAAGTGACTGGATTGACTTTGAAGGAGCTGGGGGTGGTGACGGCCAACAGGGAGCTCTGGCGTGGGCTGGTCCATGAAGTCACGAAGAGTCGGAAAGACTGAACAAATGAACAACAACAAAACATGTGTACAAATATGGGCCATGAAGATTTAGAATTTAGGAAGCCATACTTCTTATTTGAATTTGTTTTCCTGTCCTTTCCAACCACATTGTGTTCTAGCAGTGATTTCAAAATAATTCCTTGTTAACTTAATAAAAATATGAGCTACCCATGATAATCTGTATTGAAAGACCTACCAATCAAATAATTTACTGCTGAATTGTAAGTTTCATCCCTCCAAACAGATAGAGCTAGGCATGAGAAAAGTTTAGATTCAGATAACACCACCCTGCTTTCATGATGATGCCCTTTAGTGACCAGACAGTGTCCACCTTCTGGCTGCGTACAGTTGATACGGAACTTACAGCAAGTCCAGACACTTTGGGCAGGAGATTTTCTTCAGGGATTTCCACATCCTCCATAACAATCATCCCTGTGATAGAAGCTCGCAGCGAAAACTTGCCCTCAATCTTGGGAGTGGAGAGACCCTTCGTTCCACGCTCCACAAGGAAACCCCGCACTTTGCCATCTTCACACACAGCCCACACCACACACAGATCAGCCATTGGCGAATTAGTGATCCTGATAGAACAATAAGGAGAAGTCAGATGTTTGACACACACAAAATGGTCAAGACGCTGTCCAACTACTAAACATGAGCATGGGAGTGCAAAAGGAGCTGGTCGGTATTATTTTATAAGGGTTGAATGAAAAGTAATGCCTCCATCTTCGTTACTTGGGTTTAGAAGGGAATATTTCAATAAATCAAACAGAAATAATTCTTAGAATGTGCTCTTTAACTACCACTAGTCACTTTTCCACATAATCTCCAGACAATTGGATACATTTCTGCCAAAGATGAACAAGTTTTCTGAAGCCGTCACGGAAGAAGTCGACACTCTGTTTCCGCAACCAGCATCTCGCAGTTCTCTCATCCTGGGTACCATGATGTCCCTGCAGATCTTATTTCATTATTGGGAACAGATGGAAGTCAGACGGTGCTAAATCTGGACTGTATGGAGGATGCCGTACGGTGGCAAGATCCAGTCTCTGAAGTTCTGCTGTGGTGGCATGTGAAGTGTGTGGTCTAGCATTGTCATGCTGCAGGACATTTCCCTTTTCCTTTCGGGCTCTTGTTAGCATCATTTCAAAGTTCGCAGTGTTGTGATGTAACGCTCTGAATTTATTGTTGTTCCACGTTCAAGGAAATCAACATGGATAACACCATCTGCATCCCAGAACACTGTTGCCATGATTTTTCCAGCTGAGGGCTGTGTCTTGAATTTCTTTTTCTGGGGCGAGTCTTTGTGTCGATATTCCATAGACTGATGCTTCATCTCCGCGTCATAATGGTGTACCCACATTTCGTCTCTTGTCACAATTGAATGGAGAAAAGTGTCACCTTCATTCTCGTAATGCGAGAGGAGTTCCTGGCAAATTTCAAGTCTGTGCGCTTTTATTTCAGGCGTCAGCATCCTGGGTACCCATCATGCACAGATCTTCTGATAGCCAAGCAAAGCAATAATGTGACCCACACGTTCTTGTGAAATGCCTGATTATGCTTGAAATTTCTCTCTGAGTGATATGACGATTGTCCTGAATCAATCTGTCAACCTTTTGCTTGTGAAACTCGGTGGTTGCTGTCACAGGACGTCCAACTCTTTGTTTGTCATGCAAGTCAGATGTTCCCACCTCAACATCTTTAAACTTACTTGCCCAATGACACACAGTACTCACATCAACACAATCACCATAAACAGCTTGCATTCTTTGATGAATCTCCTTTGGGGTGACACCTTCTGCTGTCAAGAATTCAATGACTGCACGTTGCTTAAGTCACATTGACCGACCAACTGTGCAGGGTTCCATACTTTGCACTTTAACAACACAACCATTCAATGCTAAGGCTTCCCACCAAAATGGAACTGTAGAGGAGAGTCTACTGAACAAGCCAGTACCTGCCACATACCAGTACTGCCATCTGTTGAGGAGTTACGAAGGTGGAGGCATTACTTTTCATTCAACCCTCGTATGTGAAGTACTTTAGATGGGCAGCTGAGCTAACCCATGACAGATACTAAAAGAACCTTAATAGGGAAGCATTTAGTGCTACCAAAAGTAATATTCCCTAAATCTGTCTTTTCCCATGTCATAAGCATCAGTACCTTGCTGTTGTATTCAATCTAGTATGTGCCCCTGCCCATGTTCTTGGGCACAAAGAGGGTTCTGCAGATCTCACCAGGTCTTAGTGCCGTTGAGTGTGTAGGTCTTTCTGGAAGGGTTGTACTTGGCTCGGGTCTCCATACCGCCAGGATCACTCCCATGGTTAGGCTCTGTAAGCCCAAAACAGCCCAGCAACTCTCCCTTAGCTATAGGGATAAAGAATACAGGCTATGAGCTACTGCTGCACCAAAACAAACTTCAAGGGCATTTCAGAAGTAGGGTGACCCTAATTCTAAGATTTTGGGCAGGGGCCGGGGAAAGGACCTTGAAGGGCTGCCTCCAGTCTGTGGGCTTTAGTTTGGGAACCTCTGCTCTATACTGGGATTTCTGTTAGTCATTCCTAGGGTTTGATAACTGCTGGGCAGTAGGGAGAATATGAAACTCTGTGGGCAAAATGTTATGATTTCCTGGATTTTAGTTGGGGTTCCCAAATAGCCACCTGTTCTTTGAGTTGATTGCTTCATTTTGTCAGCATGTACCCTCAAACCATATAGTGTGTAATGGAGAAAATAAAGATTGAAATTTTTTTTGTCATGTCAGGAGCGACTTGAGAAAGTGCAAGTCGCTTCTGGTGTGAGAGAATTGGCCATCTGCAAGGATGTTGCCCAGGGGATGCCCAGATGATTTTGATGTTTTTATCATCCTTGTGGGAGGCTTCTCTCATGTCCCCGCATGAGGAACTGGAGCTGATAGAGGGAGCTCATCCGCCTCTCCCCAGATTCGAACCTGCGACCTGTCGGTCTTCAGTTCTGCCGGCACAGGGGTTTAACCCACTGCGCCACCAGGGGCTCCTAAGATTGAAATGATACAATATAGTTCTTATTTGAGATTTGCACATTTTGCAGTTTTGAGTATTTGCTGGACATTCACTAACAGTTCTGAAAACAAGTGAAATAATCCTTTTCTTGAATTCCCTCTCTCTTCGTTTAAACGTACAGTGTCTGAACTCAAGGTGGATCTATACTGTAGAATTAATACAGTTGGATATCAATTTAATTGCCATGGCTCAGTCTTATAGGATCTTGGGATTTGTAATTTGGTGAGATACCAGCACTCTTTGGCAGATAGGACCTCGGATAATGACAGCACCCATGATTCCATGCCATTGCCCACAGAGTTCCATATTTTCCCTACTGCCCAGCAGTTATCACACCCCAGGAATGACTAACAGGAATCCCAGTATAGAGCAGAGGTTCCCAAACTAAGGCCCACAGACTGGAGGCAGCCCTCCAAGGTCCTTTCCCCAGCCCCTGCCCTAAATCCGGTGGCGCAGTGGTTTAAAGCACTGAGCTGCTGAGCTTGTTGATCGAAAGGTCGCAGGTTCGATTCCGGGGAGCGGCGTGAGCTTCCGCTGTCAGCCCTAGCTTCTGCCAACCTAGCAGTTCGAAAACATGCAAATGTGAGTAGATCAATAGGTACCGCTCCGGCGGGAAGGTAACGGCGCTCCATGCAGTCATGCCGGCCACATGACCTTGGAGGTGTCTACGGACAACGCTGGCTCTTCGGCTTAGAAATGGAGATGAGCACCACACCCCAGAGTCAGACATGATTGGACTTAATGTCAGGGGACTACCTTTACCTTTACCTTACTTTTGAAATGCCCTTGAAGGCACACAACAAGAAGAGTCCTAATTAACTTGACTCTCTCATCAGCCAAGAGCATGCCCACACTTCCCACTGAAATCCAGGCAAGTTTTAAGGTTTTAAATTCTCTGTGTTATTGTTTATATGTAAGTTATATTAATCATACTGTTTTATTTGCTTGCTGTTTTGTTTTTACTGATGTGTTGTTGGGCTTGGCCTCATGTAAGCCGCCCCGAGTCCCCTTGGGGAGATGGTAGTGGGGTATAAATAAATTATTATTATTATTATTATTATTATTATTATTATTATTATTATGTTGGTTAAAAGTGTTCTTCATTTTAAATATTGTATTGTTTTTTCATATTTTTTTGCATTACAAATAAGGTAAGTGCAGTGTGCATAGGGATTTATTCATATTCTTTTCAAAGTATAGTCCAGCCCCCCAACAGTCTCAGAGACCATGAACTAGCCCTTGGATTAAAAAGTTTGAGGACTCTTGAATTTCAGGATAGGCAAAAAATGCGAATATAGATAGAATGTAAGACATTTTATTTTAAAGAAAAATATATAGCAGTAAAATGAATCTATTCCTGGATCTGATATGACTTAGCTCCACGTAATAAAAGACTCCAGTTTAGAGACTCAAGCGGACCCACATTAAATACCCTGAACCTATATACTCACCCAGGCGTGGCAAATATTTCTGCTTTTGCTCCTCTGTCCCATAGGCATATATAGGATGCATGACCAAAGATGACTGGACGCTCATAACTGAGCGGTAGCTGCTGTCCACCCTCTCAGTCTCTCTTGCCAGGAGTCCATAAGCCACGTAAGTGGTTCCTGCACAACCGTAACCTAAGAGAAATGGAAGCAAAAAAATGAAGCATGAGTTCCTCTGGGCTACAAGTACCCACTGAAAAGTAGTGACAAAAGGGAAGAGGACTGCTTATAAATTGATTTTGAGGCTTAATGCCCCAAATTATAAACCAATTAACATATATTTTAATGCACTTTAAAAATCTGTACATGAACTATGCAGCCATGATACCATGCAAACAATGTAAGGCAATTGTTATATCAACAGCTAGCCTTAGGGGAAAAAGTATAGTGTTATAAATCCCTCCCTCTCCCTCTCTCTCTATATGTAATGTTTGTTTGTGGGATTAACAGAACTCAAAAACCACTGGACGAATTGACACCAAATTTGGACACAAGACACCTAACAACCCAATGTATGTCCTTCACTCAAAAAAACTGATTTTGTCATTTGGGAGTTGTAGTTGCTGGGATTTATAGTTCACCTAAAATCAAAGAGCATTCTGAACCCCACCGATGATGGAATTGAACCAAACTTGGCACACAGTTCTCCCGTGACCAACAGAAAATACTGGAAGGGTTTGGTGGGCAGTGTCCTTTGGTTTTGGAGTTGTAGTTCACCTACATCCAGAGAGCACTGTGGACTCAAACAATGATGGATCTGGATCAAACTCTACACAAATACTCAATACGCCCAATGTGAACACTGGTGGAGTTTGGGGAAAATAGAATCTTGACATTTGGGAGTTGTAATTGCTGGGATTTGTAGTTCACCTACAATCACAGAGCATTCTGAACCCCACCAACAATAGAATTGGGCCAAACCTCCCACACAGAACCCCCATGACCACCAGAGTGGACCACAGCAACGAGTGGCAGGGGACGGCTAGTATATATATATGTGTGTGTGTGTGTGTGTGTGTGCTCTGTTCGTTTTGAGTGACATCATAACTAAAAATCAGCTGGACGAATTGCTGCCAAATTGGGCCACAAGACACCTACTAACCTAAGGAGTGACTATCACTCAAAAAAATGATGTTGTCATTTGGGAGATGTAGTTGCTGGGGTTTATAGTTCACCTACAATCAAAGAGCATTCTGAACTCCACCAATAATGGAATCGAACCAAACTTGGCACACAGAACTCGCAGGACCAACAGAAAATACTGTGTTTTCTCATGGTCTTTGGCGACCCTTCTGACACCCCCTCCCGACCCCCAGGTTGAGAAATGCTGCCTTAAGGCCATCCAGTCCGCCCCCCTTCAACAGGGCAAGAAAATATAATCAAAACCCTCCTGACAAAGCGCCATCCAGCCAGAAATATAGATAGATAGATAGATAGATAGATAGATAGATAGATAGAGACAGACAGACATGATTCATACACACACATACATGTATATGACAGATATAGTATCATAGATTTGAAAGGGACCCCTACAGAAGGACAATGATGTTCCATGTTCCAGAGCAGGCAAACCAGACACTCTCTACATCAACATTGACAAAGAAACAACAGGAAATAATGTTTACACACAAGCATAAAATCATAAAATAAAAACACTTTATTTTCCAGATCACCAGACTAGGCCACAGCAACGCATGGCAGTAGGCGGCTAGTGTATACTAAATAGCTCTGCTCCATAATTCCATAAATGCATATCAGTTCAAGTAAATCAATCATCTTGTAAAGAGCAAAGTGCTCATCTTGTTCCATGCATTTCCAATTAATAAATCAATAAGCCAACTCACTCTCGAAAAAATAGTGAAGATTAGGGACATCCCACAGGCAACCAAGATCCGCATAGTTAAAGCAATGGTATTCCCCGTAGTAACTTACGGATGTGAGAGCTGGACAATAAGGAAGGCTGAGTGAAGGAAGAGAGATGCTTTTGAAATGTAGTCCTGGAGGAAAGTGCTGAGAGTGCCTTGGACCGCGAGAAGACCCAACCAGTCAGGAAATAAAGCCCGACTCCTCGTTGAAGGGAAGGATATTAGAGGCCAAGATGAAGTATTTTGGCCACATCATGAGAAGACAGGAAAGCTTAGAGAAGACAATGATGCTGGGGAAAATGGAAGGAAAAAAAAAAGCGGAGCCGACCAAGGGCAAGATGGATGGATGGCATCCTTGAAGTGACTGGCTTGACCTTGAGGGAGCTGGGGGTGGTGATGGCCAAAAGGGAGCTCTGGCGTGGGCTGGTCCATGAGGTCACAAAGAGTCGGAAATGACTGAATGAATAAACAACAACAAGCAAACTCACTACTATGACAATGACAAATAAATATTCTGTTACCTTTGATGGTAGGGCCTAGGACGCCCAGTTCCCCCATTTCTGACACAATTTCCCGATGAAAGACTACAATACAGAGAAAAAAGGAAGTGCAATCATGTTAATAACATCATAGACAAAACATAAGGTGATTTATGTTTAAGCTTCCCTTCTGTTCCATAGCAACATGCAGTTTTTGTTGTTACTTTTAATTTAATTGCCTTCAAATGGGCTTTGATTTATGACAACCCAATAAATGAGGGACCTCTAAGGCCCCTTCTACACTGCCATATAAACCAGATTATCAAATCAGATAATCCGGATGATCTGCTTTGAACAGGATTATATGAGTCTACACTGCCAGATGTAGACTCATATAATCCTGTTCAAAGTAGATAACCTGAATTCAAAGCAGATAACCTGGATTTTATATGGCAGTGTAGAAGGGGTCTAAGTCACCCCATCAGATCTTGCAGAATTAGGCCATGGATTCCCTAATTTCAAGCAATCCATCAGGAAAGCTTTCTTCCTTTTCTCCTACTGCCTTGTACCATATTATCGTCTTTTCTAGTGAGTCATCTATTCTCATTATATGGCCAAAGTAGTCATATTGGCTTCCCATTTTTTTTGCCAACACTTGAAGGACAGCCAGTGATCCCATGAGTGGGGTCAGTCTCATGTCTATGAAGGAGGGGGTCCTCAAACTTTTTAAGCTGAGGGTCAGTTCACGGTCCCTCAGACAGTTTGGGGGGGGGGGGGCAGACTGTAGTTTGAACAAACATGGGTCATCATAAGCCAGAAACAACTTGAAGGCACACCACAAAACTGTGAAAGAACTATTAACTCAGTTTGGTAGTGGAAATAGAAGGCGACTGTCAGCACAGACAGATCCTTTGCTTTTGATGAGCAGACTCCAAAAGAGCAATCAATTAATACAAATTGTGCAAAACTGAATAAACATTCAACTTCTAGGGTTCTTCAGGATGAACTCAGATGTTCAGAATCCTAAACAGTTTGGGACCTGTCTATCTTATATATGTGTGTTATGGCGACAATTTTTATGCATATTTTGTTTTGTTAATCTTATAGTTATGTTGTTTTTACTTTGTATGTTCTGTGTTTTTTACCTGGGAACTGCTCTGAGTCCCCTCGGGGAGATAGAGCGGTATATAAATAAAGATTATTATTATTATTATTATTATTATTATTATTATTATTATTATCTTTGTGATCGCATCTTCCTCTATGAACCAGCATGTACTTTAAGACCATATGGGGAGGCTCTTCTCTCACTTCCACCGCCCTCACAAGCTCGGTTGGTAGGAACAAGGGAAAGGGCCTTCTCTGTGGTGGCTCCTCAGCTCTGGAACTCCCTCCCCAGGAAGATCAGACAGGCCCCAACTTTCTCCATTAAAAACTTGGCTGTTCTGTTGTGCCTTTGATTGGGCAATTCACCACAGAATTTCCCAACCTATCCATCTCCTGCACTTTAATACGGTCCCTTTCTGGCATTTATAACACTTTAATAGCCTAAGGACATTTGTCTCCTAGCCCAGCCCTCCAATTGTCGCACTTTCTCTGGCTCTTCCTAGGACTCACTGCACTTGGTAATTATGAACCGAACCCAGCACTTTATTTGCTCAGCCTTAAGCCGCTCCCTATGAGGAGCGGCTTAAGGAGCTGGGCATGTTTAGCCTGAAGAAGAGAAGGCTGAGAGGAGATATAATAGCCATGTATAATAAATATGTGAGAGGAAGCCACAGGGAGGAGGGAGCAAGCTTTTCTGCTTCCCTGGAGACTAGGACGCAGGAACAATGGCTTCAAACTACAAGAGAGGAGATTCCATCTGAACATGAGGAATAACTTCCTGACTGTGAGAGCCGTTCAGCAGTGGAACTCTCTGCCCCGGAGTGTGGTGGAGGCTCCTTCTTTGGAAGCTTTTAAACGGGCTGGATGGCCATCTGTCAGGGGTGATTTGAATGCAATATTCCTGCTTCTTGGCAGGGGTTGGACTGGATGGCCCATGAGGTCTCTTCCAACTCTTTGATTCTATGATAGCTTTTAATCATTTTATAATTTAGTCTGATTTTATGTTTATTAATGTTTGATATTGCTTGTTTTTCGAGGCTTATTTTAACCAGTTTTGTTGGGCATGTCTCTCTATAAGCCGCCCTGAGTCCCTTCGGGGAGATGGAGGCGGGGTATAACAATACAGTTGTTATTATTATTATCATTATTATTATTGATCCAATAGGCAGAGGGAAAAATTACATATTTGTTCCAATGCCCATAGAATCAAACCAAATAATTATACCACAGAGGAAAGAACGCATCACTCAGGGACTGGCCAGCACTTATCACCATACACAGGGCACAAGAAAGAATAGTTAGAAAAACTGGTACCTTCATTTCGATTGGCCATAAGGATCCTGGGCATCAGCTTTCCTTGGCAATAGGTGCGAAATGAATCCCGAATCATTATTTCCTCCTGTGTAAGGAGACTCTCCAGCTGTAAGGCATCTTGCCAGTCAAACTGGGCTCTGGGAACTGAAAGAACGACAGAACTGGCATGATGAATTTGGTCCAGAGCATCCTCAGAAGCACTTTAACTACCCGTTGGGTTGACCAACCTACATTATCCTTTAAAACCCTCCTGCTGAGATACATCCTACCTCTGTTTGTGCCCAGTGTTTTAATCTATTACATCTGGCCCGGCCATAAGGTTTTAAATTTTTGTGTGTTACTGCTTCTATGTGAGTTATATTAATTGTACTGTTTTATTTGCTTGCTGCTTTGTTTTTTACTGATGTGTTATTGGGCTTGGCCTCATGGAAGCCGCCCCGAGTCCCTTAGGGAGATGGTGGCGGGGTATAAATAAAGTATTATTATTATTATTATTATTATTATTATTATTATTATTATATTTATATCCCGCCCAACTCCCCACAAAGGGGACTCAGCGCGGCCTCACATGAGCATCAGGGGATGCTAACAGCATAAATACCATAAAAATTACACTTCACAATACAATCATTTTAAAACATTGTACATCATCATCACTGAAATTTAACAATAAATTAATAGATTAATGTGCCAATAAAACCAAGCCCAGTTGGGAGAATCCAAATTTCCTTTTCCTATTGCCGCTGGCCTCTGATTGAACGCCTCCTATAATTATATTATTATTATTATTATTATTATTATTATTATTATTATTATTATCCCTAACCACTGTGCGGGGCACTTCATTATACTGGGTTGTTGTAGGTTTTTTCGGGCTATATGGCCATGTTCTAGAGGCATTCTCTCCTGACGTTTCGCCTGCATCTATGGCAAGCATCCTCAGAGGTAGTGAGGTCTGTTGGAACTAGGAAAAGGGTTTATATATCTGTGGAATGACCAGGGTGAGACAAAGGACTCTTGTCTGCTGGAGCTAGGTGTGAATGTTTCAACTGACCACCTTGATTAGCATTTGATTGGCCTGGCAGTGCCTGGAGCAATCTTTTGTTGAGAGGTGATTAGATGTCCTTGTTTATTTCCTCTCTGTTGTTGTGCTGTTGATATTAGATGCCAGCCACCAAAAGGCGAAATGTCGGAAAATGCTCTAAACATGGCATGTAGCCCGAAAAAAAAGACTACAAAAACCCATATAATCCAGTTCAATGTGGATTTTATACATCTGTGTGGAAGGGGCTTTAGTTAATCACTTTTGGCTTCCAGGAGAGTGCAGGTTTAATTTTGGCATAATACATATTTATTAATCTTCTTGGCAGGGTTAAACCCCTGTGCCGGCAGGACTGAAGACCGACAGGTCGCAGGTACAAATCCAAGGAGAGGTGGATGAGCTCCCTCTATCAGCTCCAGCTCCTCGTGCGGGGACATGAGAGAAGCCTCCCACAAGGATGGCAAAACATCAGAACATCATGGTGTCTCCTGGGCAACGTCCTTGCAGACGGCCTCTCACACCAGAAGCGACTTGCAGTTTCTCAAGCCACTCCTGACACAAAAAAAAAAACCTGCACACTCTTCAACTGCCTTGAACTTTGTTGTGTTGGGCTTGGTCCCACTTGTAAGCTGCCCTGAGTCCCTTCAAGGAGACGGTGGCGGGATATAAAAATAAAGTTGTTGTTGTTGTTAAATCTAACCTGCAGGTAGGGAGATGCACCACCACAAGTCCGGACTTACTGGCAAAGTGTGCTTTCCCATTATATAGAAATCATCTCTCACCATACTGAAAAGTAATAGCCAGTTGGGAATCATATGGAGAGTGGAATCATATTAGGAATATCTTTAAACTAGTAGAGCTAGTCCAATGGCTTGAATGTTTAGTGCTGAACCAAAGCAAAAGGGGAGAAGCTTCAGGAGCACCTGGAGCTCCTCTTTGCAGGACACCATCTTTAATTTAATGGCCATGGTTCAATGCTATGGAATCCTGGGATGTGTAGTTTGGTAAGGCTTCAGCATTCTTCGGCAGAGAAGGCTCAAGGCCTTGTCAAACGACAGCCCCCAGGACTCCAAGGCATTGAACCAAGGGCAATAAAGTAAAATAAAATAATAAAATAAATAAAATAATAAAATAACATTGAACCAAGGGCAATAAATAAAATAAAATAAAATAAAAAAGATAAAATAAATAATATAATATAATAAAGTAAATTTATTCTACAGCATTGATGCACCTGAGCCCTGCCACATGCACGATGGAGAACCTTCTTGCGGCAACACCAGAGGCACTCCAAGTGGCCAGATACTGGTCAAAGGACATTTAATCAGCTACCAAGTTTGCAAAATTTGTGGTTTTTTAATCTGTTTGTTTGTTTTGTTCTGTTAGAAATGTAATACAATGTTCTGGTTGCGGATGACACGATAAATAAATATTCCATTGCTGGAAAATTTGGTGACTTAACACTTTTACTTTGAAAGAAGGAGTTCTAAGCAGGCAGCCACTGTAATGGCCAAATTACAAAGAGTGCACCTTTTGCCACTGCGCATTACATTCGGCAGCAAATACTTTTTTTTGGTTCCAGGGTTTTGAAAATTGAGGTGCACGTTCGATGGCACCTCGACTAAATACGGTATATTATAATATTATTTTTGATATAACATTGCTGAGATGATTTGGGTGTTAGATACACACACACAAATGATACAATGAAATTAGTATGCAGATGCAGCAATGGAAGGAGGGAGGATCCAGCACCTCAAATCTTATATAAAGAAACAGGTCTGTGAAAACAAGAGCTCCCTGCAAGTAGTGTGATGGCTGGGAGCCCAAACACAAAGCTCAACAAATCAAAGGTCATATTCCATAAGCAAGAGAAGCCGGCCTACCTTTCGCTTCCTTCCTTGAGGGCGATGCTTCTTTTTCTGCAATACAAGTAGAAAACATTATGCCACTTTCCTGTTCAATCACCTCTTCTCCATCTATCCCAGAAATCTCAAACTAAGGCCCACAGGCCAGATGCCCCCGTCCCCCAATGTCATTTGCTAGGCCCTCGCCTTAAATTTTGCCCTAAATCTGAAACAACTTGAAGGCACACAACAACCATTCTAATTAACTTTACTATCTCATCAGCCCACATTTAGTTTATGTTGGTTAACATTGTTTCTCGTTCTAAATATTGTATTGTTCTTTCATGTGGTTTTTTGCACGACAAATAACGTATGTGCAGTGTGCATCAGAATTTAACATGGAGCGGCTTAAAGAGCTGGGCATGTTTAGCCTAAAGAAGAGAAGGCTGAGAGGAGACATGATTACCATGTATAAGTATGTGAGAGGAAGTCACAGGGAGGAGGGAGCAAACTTGTTTTCTGCTGCCCTGGAGACTAGGACGCAATGGAACAATGGCTTCAAACTACAGGAGAGTAGATTCCATCTGAACATTAAGAAGAACTTCCTGACTGTGAGAGCTGTTCAGCAGTGGAACTCTCTGCCCGGAGTGTGGTGGAGGCTCCTTCTTTGGAAGCTTTTACACAGAGGCTGGATGGCCATCTGTCGGGAGTGCTTTGAATGCAATTTCCTGCTTCTTGGCAGGGGGTTGCTAGAGAATATCGAACCTAATATATTATATTACTAGCCATCCCCTGCCACGCGTTGCTGTGGCCCAGTCTGTGTATATGTGTTTTGTGTGTGTATATATGTGTATATTTGTGTATATGTGTGTTTGTGTATATATGTATGTGGCTTTGTGCATTCATTGTAATGTATTTTTTGTTTTTTGGCTTTTTAAGTCTCTTCTGCTGTGTTTTTCAGTGTTTTTATGAGTGATGGTCACTTGTTGGGAAGTTTGCCCAAATTCTATCATTGGTGGGGTTCAGAATGCACTTTGATTGTAGGTGAACTATAACTCCCAGTAACTACAACTCTCAAATGTCAAGGTCTATTTCCTCCAAACACCATCTGTGTTCATATTTGGGCATATTGGGTATTCATGCCAAGTTTGGTCCAGACCCATCATTGTTTGAGTTGACAATGCTCTCTGGATGTAGATGAACTACAACTCCCAAACTCAAGGTTAATAACCACCAAATCCTTCTAGTGTTTTCTGTTGGTCATGGGAGACCTGTATGCCACGTTTGGTTCAATTCGATCACTGGTGCAGTCCAGAATGCTCTTTGATTGTAGGCGAACTATAAATCCTAGCAACTACAACTCCCAAATGTCAAGATCTATTTCCCCCAAACTTCACCAGTATTCACATTTGGGCATATTGAGTATTTGTGCCAATTTTGGTCCAGATCCATCATTGTTTGAGTCCACAGTGCTCTCTGGATGTAGGTGAACTACAACTCCCAAACTCAAGAAAAAGGCCCAACCCTTCCAGTATTTTCTGTTGGTCATGGGAGTTCCGTGTGCCAAGTTTGGTTCAATTCCATCGTTGGTGGAGTTAAGAATGCTCTTTGATTATAGGTGAACTATAAATCCCAGCAACTACAACTCCCAAATATCCAAGGTCAATTTCCCCCAAACTCCACCAGTGTTCACATTTGGGCATATTGAGTATTCATGCCAAGTGTGGTCCAGATCCATCATTGTTTGAGTCCACAGTGCTCTGCCACATGCACAATGGAGGACCTTCTTGCGGCACACCAGAGGCACTCCAAGTGGCCAGATACTGGTCAAAGGACATTTAATCAACTACCAAGTTTGCAAACTTTGTGTTTTTTTATCTGTTTGTTTGTTTTGTTCTGTTAGAAATGTAATACAATGGTCTGGTTGCCCCTGACACGATAAATAAATACAGGTTTCTACATTCTCCTGATTCAGTAAACCAATGGCATGGGACACCATTTCCCTATGCTACAGAACCAATGCAAATGATACTGTCTTCATAATATGACCATGGGTCGCCCACCACAGCTTCCTTGTCTTGCCAGTTCACCTTTGGAGCAAAACGCTAGACAGGAAAAGGGTGCAAGTATCTTATTTGTGTACAAGGTGAAGCCAAGCAAGAGATTGGACAACATCTTGAATGTCTCCCAATTACAATCCCTTGGCAAAATGCAGGACCTAAATTGAAGGGATAACAGCATCTCTCCCAAAACAGGGGCTCTGCTGGCTAACTCATTAATTTCAACAGGCCTACTCACCCTTTTGTGCTGCGGCGCTCGTCCACTGCGTTCGGATCTCGCACGGGCCTAAAACACAGCGGCTTAACTGCAGGAGCCTCCTGGCAGGTAATCTCAGGGCCATTGGGACAATCCCTGTGGGTCTGGAAGAGGCAAATCAATCAGAAAGTGTTAACAACACACTGCAGAATTAATGCAATTTGACAACACTTTCATGGTCACGGCTCCATTCAAGTTGTAGACTGAATCTACGCTACCATATAATCCAGTTTCAGATCCCAGGTGATCTGCTTTGAACTGGATTATGTGAAGAGTAGAGTCATATAATCCAGTTCAAAACAGATTAACATTTAGGGCCCTTCCACACAGCCCTATATCCCAGATATAGTCAACAAATATATCCCAGATATAGTCACCAAAGACACCGAAATACACCACCACCTGAGCTCTGCGAGTGCAGCATTTTTCCAAATGAAGCAGAGAGTGTTTGAGGACCGGGTCATAGGGATACCAAGGTGCTTGTTTATAAAGCTATTGCCCTCCCAATCCTGCTCTATGCCTGCGAAACGTGACTGTCTACAGACGTCACATGCAACTCCTGGAATGATTCCATCAGCGCTGCCTCCGGAAAATCCTGCAAATCCTGGGAAGACAGGCGGACAAACGTCAGCATGCTGGAAGAAGCAAAGACCACCAGCATTGAATGATGGTCCTCCGCCATCAACTCCACTGGACCGGCCACAATGTCCGGATGCCCGACCACCGTCTCCCAAAGCAGTTGCTCTACTCCGAACTCAAGAACGGAAAACAGAATGTTGGTGGGCAGGAAAAGAGATTTAAAGATGGGCTCAAAACCAACATTAAAAACTCTGGCATAGGCACTGAGAACTGGGAAGCCCTGGCCCTTGAGCACTCCAGCTGGAGGTCAGCTGTGACCAGCAGTGCTGCAGAGTTTGAAGAGGCACGAATGGAGAGCAAAAGAGAGAAACGTGCCAAGAGGAAGGTGCATCAAACCAATCCCAACCGAGACCGCCTTCCACCTGGAAACCAATGCCCTCATTGGGTTATATGGAAGTGGGATGAGGACCCTTCCACACAGTCCTATATCTCAGAATATCAAGGCAAAAAATCCCACATGTTCTGCTTTGAACTGGGATTTATCGCAGTATGGACTCAAACAACCCAGTTCAAAGCAGATATTATGGATTTTCTGCCTTGATATTCTGGGATATAGGACTGTGCGGAAGGGCCCATCGTTTGAGGCAGCCACAAAACACAGTTTCTGGAGTATAACCACTACTTTCGTAGTAAGGACCACAAAGTTATATAGGAATGACACTTTCAAATCAAGAACAGGGGGGAAAATCATTTTTGTTATATAGTGTAATTTGAGATCATGTAATGGATGATATGCCACCAATGCTTTTGGGCAAAGAAAGCTTGTGAAATTACACCTTTCACAATTCCATAGCACTGAACCATAGCAGTTAAAGTGCTGTCGAACTGTGTTAATTCTACAGCGTAGATGCACTCACAGGCATAATCCCCTTTGGAGGGAGCCTAGACCTTGCTGTTAACTGAGGGCCCTTCCACACAGCTGAATAAACTCCCAAAATATCTGCTTTTAACTGAGTTATATGACAGTGTGGACTCAGATAACCCAGTTCAAAGCAGATATTGTGGGTTTTTCTGCCTTGATATTCTGGGTTATATGGCTGTGTGGAAGGCCCTAAGGCCCCTTCCACACTGCTTTATATCCCAGGATCTGATCTCGGATTATCCTCTTATCCCAGATAATCTGACAGTGGAGACTCATATAATCCGGTTTCAAGGAGACCTGGGATCAGATCCTGGGATATAGGGCAGTGTGGAAAGGGCCTCAAGCTCCCCCCTGGGGCCCAACCAATCCGAAACAGGCCACGAGGCTTGTCACAGGCAAAGTTTGGGGCCGGCTCACTCCATGCAGAAGGAAAACAACCAGAAACCGGAAGTGGATCGCGCACAGCCCACCGCACGCCCTGGATCTCTTCCCCCGGCAACACTCTGCCTGGGAATGCGGCAGGAACAGGGGCCGCACTCACTGCACCCACCGGGACGAGAGCGGGCTTTCCAGCTGGGCTTGCCTCGGGGCTACTGCTGCTGCTGCTTCCGAAAGCCCTTCCGCTGAAGTTGCATAAGCGCCTCCTGGAGGGAGGAGGGAGGAGGAGGAGGAGGCGGTGGCAGAGGCCCTTCTCTCCCATTGGCTGGACCCAGGTGGGCGGGGCTCCACGGCCCCGCCTCCCACAGCCTTTGCCCGATTGGACAAGGGCAAGGCGGAGGAAGAAAGGGAGGAAGGAAGGAAGGGAGGCAGTGGAGGGAAGAGAGAGGCCGGAAGGGAAAAAGGAAGGGTGAGGAAAGGAGGGGAAGAAGGAAAGAAAGGAAAGCAGAAGCAGGGACGAGGAGGAGGGGAGGAGGAAGGGAGAAGGAAAAAAGGGGGAAGGAAGGAAAGGGAAGGGGAAGGAAGAAGAGGGAGGGAGAGAGGAAAGGAAGAAGGGATGGAAGGGGAAAGGAAGCAGTGGGAGGTAAGGAAGGGGCAAGAAGAAGTGGAAGAAGGAAAAAGAGGGAGGGGAAAAGAAAAAAGTGAGGGCAGTGGAAGGAAGGAAAGAAGAAGAGGGAAGGGGAAAGAAAGAAGTGGGAAGGAGGAAATAAAGAAGGAAGGGAAGGAAGGAAGAAGGGAGGGCAGTGGAAGGGAAAAAGGAAGGAAAGAAGGGAGAGAATGGGAAAGGAAGAAGTGGGAGGGAGGGAATGGCAGAGAAGTGGAAGGGAAGAAGGAAAAGAGGGAGGGGAAAGAAAGAAGGAAGAAGAGAGAGCAGTGGGAAGGAAGAAGTGGGAGGAAGGAAAGAAGAAGAGAGAAGGCAAAAGGAAGAAGGGAGGGCAGTGGGAAGGAAAAAGTGGAAGGGAAAAGGAAGGAAAGAAGAGAGAGAAGGGGCAAGAAGATGTGGGAGGGAGAGAAGGGGGAAGAAGAAGTGGAAGGGAAGAAGGAGAAAGAGGGAGGGGAAAGAAAGAAGGAAGAAGAGAGAGCAGTGGGGAGGAAGAAGTGGGAGGAAGGAAAGAAGAAGAGAGAAGGCAAAAGGAAGAAGGGAGGGCAGTGGGAAGGAAAAAGTGGAAGGGAAAAGGAAGGAAAGAAGAGAGAGAAGGGGCAAGAAGATGTGGGAGGGAGAGAAGGGGAAGAAGAAGTGGAAGGGAAGAAGGAGAAAGAGGGAGGGGAAAGAAAGAAGGAAGAAGAGAGAGCAGTGGGGAGGAAGAAGTGGGAGGAAGGAAAGAAGAAGAGAGAAGGCAAAAGGAAGAAGGGAGGGCAGTGGGAAGGAAAAAGTGGAAGGGAAAAGGAAGGAAAGAAGATAGAGAAGGGGCAAGGAAGAAGTGGGAGGTAGGGAAGGGGGAAGAAGAAGTGGAAGGGAAGAAGTTGTTATGAACTATCCCTAGAGTCCAAACTATGGCTGACAGAGCCTTACCAAATGTCTTTTTCTGGTAAAAAATGAAAAATTGTTGAAATTGTTTTCAATCCATACAGCCACCTCTTTCTATGCTCTGTGGGAGCATAGAAAGGGTGGACAAAGTGGCTGTTTTGCAAAATAAAATAAATATTATTATTATGTGAGCTGAGAGGAATAGTATATAAATGCAGTAAATAAATAATAATGGATTTGTGGGTTGGGTAAGGACAATGGGAGACTACAGTTTAAATCCCTTTTCAGCTATGGAAACCCACTGGGTCACCTTAGGCAGGTCACACTATCTTAGGAATAAGTTATTAAGGAAAGAAGGGAAAAGAGAAAGGAGGGAGGAAAAAAGACAGAAGGGAAGAAAAAAAGGGGAGGGGAGAACTGGAGGAAATGAAAGATGTGCCAAGACTTCAGGAAACTTCAAAACAGTTACCCTCTCAGACTGGAAAGTTTACTTGGTTGAACTACAGCTCCCAGAATCCTGCAGTCAATACTGCTTCTGCCTGCAAGGTCACGGCAGCTGGTGTCTAAGTATAATGTCCAACTTCTGGTTTTAAGCATGCCTAACCACGTTCAGTATACTACATTTCAGAGGAATGTTTTCTGGACTTCTGCTCCCAGAATCCCAAGGCAGGTGAATTGTCTCAGTGTTGGAGTCTTGAACAAATCTGGAGGATTGCAATATGGGAATCCTTGGAAACCACCTCTTGAGTGCTCCTTGCCCAAAAAAGGCCTAGGAAATTGATGGAGCCCTCATAAAGTAACAGGTGACTTGTTTAAAAACAAACTATAAAGTACATAACAGACAAAGAAAATCAAATAACGTGACCTCTTAATAGGTGAGCTGTTACTATAGGGCTTCATGAAGACATTAAAACTGGCATGTAGGATAGCAAGATTCTGTAATTAAAAAACAAAATCCAATATTTTAAATGCAGTGCCTCCTGACAACTGCCTCCTCCCCCAGGTTTAAGAAAGAAGTGGCTTTGAGTCTTTGAGCGTGCACATATATCTTTGGTGAGAGATCTAGATTGTTGTTAGACATCCATTTAAAACAGTGTCTCTAATATCCCTGTTTAAATTGTCTCTTCCGTCAACTAAGGCCCATCTACACTTCCATATACAATCCAAATTGTCTGTTTTGAACTAGATTGTGTGGCAGTGTAGACTCATATAATCCAGTTCAGTGAAGATAATCTGGATTATGTGGCAGTGTAAATCTAGCCTAAGACCTAGTTTTGAAAAGTGGCTGTATGAATATTCCTTACCTAAGAAAACCCCATTAAATTAATAGCCATAAATCAGTAGGCAATGTGAAGGCACAAAAACACGCACAGTTATGCAATTGCATTTGTCTTGGTTAGAGTGCCCTCCTCTGGAAAGTAACATGATTTATGATTTCTTTTAAAAATAGAGCTTATAGAAAAACAGGAATAAACATTATAAAACCACATTCTTTGCTTTATTTCAAATGTATAATTATAATGCATTGGAGAGTGACGTGTCCTTTTCGATGCTGCTGTTTCTGTAATCTTCATTATATAGCTGATGGGAATAACAATCTAGCATATGTACTATTGGCCCATGCATGTGGTAATGTGTTTCTATACAAACATGAGTGCTGTGTTTTAAATACTGCATTCATAATAATAATAATAATAATAATAATAATAATAATAATACTTCCCCCATCGGGTGCTGCCTTGTCGTTGGCGAGGGGCTTAACTGCTTCTATGATGTTGAGAGCTGTGCTGGGGGTAGGGTAAACTACCAGCAGGTTCAACCAAGCCAGAGTGGTCCCAACTGAGAAGTAGAACTAAGTGCACCCAACCCATTTAAATATGTTGAAACAAACTCTAAAGAAGTCTATATAGGCTCAGTCGTCGCCCAGGATAATAAGGACCGTGGCAAGTGCTTCTTCTGGCCACCTGTCAACAAGTGGGCTACTGGAACCAGGACCCACTGCTGAGCAACCAGGGCATGGGCCTGTAGGGCAACTGGAAACAAAACAACTACAGAAGCGGCAGAAATTTTCTGGCACAAGCCAGTCAAGGTGGTCCCAGTGGTGATCAGCACACTGGGTGCAATGCCTAAAGACCTTGGCCAGCACTTAAACACAATCAGCACTGATAAAATTACCATCTTCCAGCTGCAAAAGGCCACCTTACTGGGATCTGCACGCATTATTCACCGATACATCACCCAGTCCTAGATACATCACACAGTCCTAGACACTTGGGAAGTGTCCAGCGTTTGATTCAATACAACAGCCAGCAGAGTGTCTGCTGTGGACTCATCTTGTTGTGATTCAAATTATTATTATTATTATTATTATTATTATTTATTTATTTGTATTCCGCCCTATCTCCTCAATAGGACTCAGGGCAGATTCCAATAAACACAGACACAAGGCAAATATTCAGTGCCTGGAAACAACAAACACAGATAAAGGAAATGTTTCCTCTTCTGGCTCTTGAGGAGTGGTGATCATCTCCGGATCTGGGGGTGGTGCTCATCTCCATTTCTAAGCTGAAGAGCCTGCGTTGTCTGTAGACACCTCCAATGTCATGTGGCCAGCATGACTGCATGGAGCTCTGTTTACCTTCCCACTGAGGTGGCACCTATTTATCTACTCACATTTGCATGTTTTCAAACTGCTAGGTTGGCAGAAGCTAACAGCAGGAGCTCACCCTGTCCCGGAGATTTGAACTGCCAACCTTCCGGTCAACAAGTTCAGCAGCTCAGCAATTTAACCTTTTGCACCATCACAACCCCTATATTTCAATACCAGTTTGAAAGTAAGGAGCCCCTGGTGGCACAGTGGATTAAACCCCTGTGCCAGCAGGACATGTCGTAGGTTCAAATCCGGGGAGAGTGCGGATGAGCTCCCTCTATCAGCTCCAGCTCTTCATGTGGGTACATGAGAGAAGCCTCCCACAAGGATGGTAAAACAGCAAAACATCAGGGCGTCCCCTGGAACAATGTCCTTGCAGATGGACAATTCTCTTACACCAGAAGCAACTTGCAGTTTCTCAAGTCGCTCCTGACACAACCAAAAAAAAATGTGTAGAAAGTACCCCAAATTATCAAGGAGTTGCAGCACATACACTACAAATTATTTTGGAGGATTTAATTTAGGAATATTCAATTTAAAACGAAGATTTAAAACATTACCAGTACCACAAAGTGAAAGAAATTCCTTCTCCCATTGTAATATTAGAATTCATGACAGCTCAATGACATTGATTGACAGGAGTTTCTTTCACACTGCAAAAAGTGTGTGTTCTAAATGTGTTATGCCATGATTTCCATCAGCTTTGTCATCCAGCATAACTGCAGATAAAGATGGTGATGTTAGAGCTAGACTTCTTTAAACACTTTCCATCCCATACAAATTAAATTACACTGAATATTCCTACCAAAAATTCCCAAGTACCTGCTTATGATACATAATAACTCAATTTGTGTTTCTAACAATATTAGTTAATTTGTAGATCTTTAGAGTTTCTAAGGGACCTTCCACATAGCCCTATATCCCAGAATATCAAGGCAGAAAATCCCACAATATCTGCTTTGAACTGGGATATCTGAGTCCTGTTGTTTCTTCTGGAGCTTTGAATCCTCACATTATAGAAACAATTGCCCCATGCCATAGTGGCATTGGTTTAAAAAAGGTCAGATGCAGAGCACTTCTGGCCAATACTGCAGAACCAGAAAG